ACCTTTGTTCGAAGAAGAAGTTAGAAAAATGCATGAAAAACAAATAGAACATGAACGTGAGATATGTTCTGGTTATAGAGACTCGCCATACGAACTCGACCAATGGGAACAAGAAGATTTAAAGAGAGAATTTAGAGAATATGAACTCGCTAAGATAGCATTAGAAGCTGCAGAAAAGAAGTTAAAAGTTTGGGGTCTTTGTACAAAAATATTGTGAGTAAATGAACCATTTTTTTCGGCAAAAATATAATTTAGGGTAGAAGGTTAGATCTAACCTCTTTTCTAACCTCTTTTCTAACCTCTTGAATTTTCATGAATTTTCATGAATTTCATCGTAAATGTTTTGTCGAAACTTCTTCATCGTAAATGTTTTGTTAAGACTTCTTCTTCGTAATGAGTGTAAACGACCAAAAAATATATTTTATGTTAGAATGTTAGATCTAACACGTTTTCTAACACGTTTTCTAACATCGTAGAAAACTCATGAAATTCATGAGTTTTGACACTTTCACAAAAAACATAAAAAATAAAGTTAGTTTTTTTAAAAAAATATTTTTTATTTTTATTGTAAGAACATGTTAGCAACAACAGCACCAAACTCTTTAGTCATGAATCCAACTTCAATGTTGGTAGAGATGAAAAGCTTCATTCCTTCTTCATATACTTTCGAAACAGAAATCCAGAAGATAAAGCAGGAACTTCTCCAAGGAGATTTAGACTGTAGTGCGAAAGATGAAACAAATGAACAGTATCTTTACGACATGCAGGACCTCATCGACCATCTACCCAAACTTCCTGAAATCCAACAACAAAAACTCACTATTCCCGAATTTGACGAAATAGAAGTAAAAACAACCGACTCAGTAGAAATAAAGAAGTTCATTCGTAAGGTAAACTATGAGTTTCTAGGATTTCATTGCAACCATAAGGTTATGGACAAAGACTGCGATATGGTATATAAGAACATCTCTGACATATATAAATCTGGGGAGTTTAAGACCTACGACAACTTTGTTTCGTTAGTTGCTGAATGTGTATGGCAGATAAGAGATAAAGATAGAAGAGGTAAAGTATGGAACGAACAGATAAAACCTGCATGTTTTGAGTTAAAGAAAACCATTGACGCTTTAGTTGTACTTGCAGGTAAGGTTTCAATGTACAATGCTAAAATGAACCCGCAATGTTCAAAATGTAAGGCAGCAATGAGGAAATATAACTACTCCGTCAAAGAGATAGAAAGAATGAGAAACGACTATGCAGATTTAAAGAAAGAAGTAGAGAAACCAGCAGAAGATAAAATGAACATGTTAGAATTTCTGAACAAAAACTATCCAACAGCAGAAGATTTCCTTCTATCTGATGTCAAGAAGAAATATAAAGAGACTTTCGGCATAGTTAAAACATTCGATGTACTGACAGAGGAAATCGAAGCTACAAAACTGTTTAAAGTCTCACGAATTCATAACGTTTACCATGTAAAACGCTTATAAAATAACTGGGGTAGAAAAGAGGTTAGAAAAGAGGTTAGATCCAACCTTCTAACATAAACATTATTTTTGCTGAATTCCGTATGAAATTTCATGAGTTTTGTGTGTTTTAGACCATGTTAGAAAAGAGGTTAGAAAAGAGGTTAGATCTAACATTCTAACATAAACATTATTTTTGCTGAATTCCGTATGAAATTTCATGAGTTTTGTGTGTTTTAGACCATGTTAGAAAAGAGGTTAGAAAAGAGGTTAGATCTAACATTCTAACATAAACATTATTTTTGCTGAATTCCGTATGAAATTTCATGAGTTTTGTGTGTTTTAGACCATGTTAGAAAAGAGGTTAGAAAACAGGTTAGATCTAACATTCTAACATAAACATTATTTTTGCTGAAAAATGACCAAATTTCATGAATTTCCTCATAAGATTGCTACCCTCGAAAAACCGAGGATAGAGATTCCGTATGAAAATCATGAATTTCCTTAAGATAGAAAAAAAAGTTAGTTTTATTTTTTTTATTTTTTTATTTTGTATGTAAGAACAGAAAATGTTAAACATTGAGTTTGAAACAGTTAGAAAGATAGACAATGAGACCAAAATAGTTAGAATAGGTGATTTAAACGTAAGATACTCAAAGAAATACAAAAAATATTCTTTGTCAGACATTTTAACACTATCTGAAAAGAAAACATCCCACGACTGGGTTAAAAATGCTTCTACTCAGAAAATTTTGACAAAAAATCCTGAGCTTATGATATCGGTAAGATTCTATGGAACAAGAGCATATCTCATTGACAAAAGTCTTATACCAGTAGTTTTGTTCTGGATTGACCCAGTTGTTGGATATAATTTCATAACATATGGTTCATTCGATACGGAACGTTGCAGTGAAGGCTTACTTTACATCGTTCAGAAACCAAAGGACTTCAATACAAAGAGATATAAGATAGGAAGAACATTTAATATAACTCAAAGATATGACAGTATAGTCAATAGAGTTAAGGTTGTGTTTGTTAATGATATGAGAGCTGCTGAAACAGAACTACTTGAAAAGTTTGAGAAAATGTATGGTGCTCCCACGAAAGGAAAAGAAACGTTTGAAGTAGATGAGATAGATAAAGCTATAAAATTATTTGACGAAGTTGCTGAAAAATACATGTAAAAATAACGTTTACCATGTAAAACGCTTGTGAAAAAAACAGGTGAGAAAACGGGTGAGATGTCACCTCTTCACCTAAACATTATTTTTGCTGAATTCAGCACAAAAATCTGAGTAAAATGGCATAAGATTGCTACCCTCGAAAAACCGAGGATAGAGATTCCGTATGAAAAACAGTGAAGAACAGCGAGTAGGTAAGAAAACCCAGTCGCCTAAAACTCTATGAAAACAGTGAAATTTCTCTAGACCGACTTTTACCGGCCTTGCCTAAAACACATGAAAATCGTGAGTTTCCTTAAGACAGAAAAAATAAAGTTAGTTTTATTTTTATTTATTTTTTTATTTTGTATGTAAAGACAGATATGTCAACAACAGAGAACACAACAACTGCTATCGTTCATGAAGCTATAAATGAAGAATACGAGTACATACAGTTTAACAAACAACTCCGTCTCATTCGTTCAGTCAAAGATGACATGTACCAAATGCAAAGTATTTTGACAGCATGTTTTGCTCCAGATACTAAGAAACCACAAGACTGGTTTAGGAACCAAAGCACTATTGAACTATTAAATGAAGCTGAAAATTCGACTACGGATTTTTCCGTAGTCGCCAAAACTCATGAAAATCGTGAAGAACAGCGAGTAGGGAAAAAGTCGGCCTTGCCTAAAACTCATGAAAACAGTGAAGAACAGCGAGTAGGGAAAAAACCCCAGTCGCCAAAACTCTATGAAAATCGTGAAAAATTGCCAAATGGTTTGAGAGGTTGGTATGTACATAGACTTCTTGTAAATGCTGTTGCAATGTGGGCTTCACCTCGTTATGCTTGGTATATTTACAGACTTCTTGACGAAATTCATAGACAAGAACGTGAAGAGATGGAAAACAAGCTTGAAGCAAAAGACAAAAACATACAGAAAAGAATACCACGTTCGGTACCAAAAGGAAAGGAAAAGAACTATAAGTATATGATTTATACTGAAGAGATGGAAAATGAAGAAGACAGAGATATGGTTATGTTGCATTTAGTCAGAAGAAACAACAAAAGCTTTTACGACCTTGCTAAGATTTACAAATCTGACAGAAATTGGTTCTATCGCGAAAACTTACCGATTTCAATGACCCCGAATGAACAAGTTAAACAAATAGTTCAAGATACTTTACCTCAAACACACTATGATATTAAAGGTTGTACAATACTTACCTTCAAAGAAGATTTGCCATTGTTAAAGGAAAAAATAACAGAGTATTTTGACAACTTCAAACAAGCAGAGTAAATGAACTCTTTATTTTTCAAGCTTGACTTCAGATGACTCAGGTAGCTCTATAAGGTAAATTGTCTTGTCAAATCCTTCTGGCATTCCGAGTCCTTCCTTCTGGCATTCCGAGTCCTTCCTTCCGACATTCCAAGTTCTTCCATCCGACATTCCAAGTCCTTCCATCCGACATTCCGAGTCCTTCCATCCGACATTCCAAGTCCTTCCTTCCGACATTCCAAGTCCTTCCTTCCAACTGGAAAAAATTTTCCTGTTGTTCGTCCGTAAACCATTCAAATTTTCGAAAATTGAGAACTTTTTTCCATCCGACAGGAAAATTTTTTCCATCCGACAGGAAAAAAATTTCCCGACAACTGGAAAAAAATTTCCCGACAACAGGAAAAGTTCTTCCTTCCGACAGGACACAAACGGATGACTGACGTTCCTCTTCCTGAATGTCTTCCAAAGCCAGAAGAACCGACAGCCCCAGCACCACAACAGACTAAGACTAAAACACTTACATTTTTTACGCTTGACTTTTTACAATTTGAACTTTGTTTGCGTAGATATGAATTCTGAAAGAAGTATGAGGGTCTTGTATGACTTTGTACTTCTCCCATAGTTCATGTCTGTCAAACTTACCTGCCATGGACTCTTTCATAAGTTCCATGAAATCGTCTTCGGACAATCCGGGGAAAAGTACAATGTCAGTAAGTATTCTTTTAACATCCTTACTTAAACTCTTTGCTGTCTGTACACATATTACGACTGAGATGTTAAAGTGTCTGAGCTTCTTAAGAATTCGACACATATCTTGTTCTCTATTCTTTAACAAAGGATGAGAAGCAAAGTCATCTAAGATAAGAAGACATCTATGAGGGTAAGTCTTCCAATCGTAAGATTGCAATTTCTTCGAAATGTATTCTATCTCTTTCTGTTTGTTTCTGAAGTGTTTCTTCTCTAATATTCTCTGCATTTCCTCATTTGGGTCTTTAAACTTCGAATTGACATACTCATTTATAGCATTATACTTCAAAACTCTTCTTTGGTACTTCTTTATCCAATCTAACAACTCAGAGTCTTTTATACATACTAACTTAGACTTCTTTATAATATCTTTGAACGAATTGACGGTTTGATCGAATTGACCAGAAGTACTACAAATAACAACTAACTCATAGAATGGGTTCTTCTCATCTAGTTCTTGTTGTTGTGCAGCCATTTTAAGATAAGTGAAAGTCTTACCCGACCCAGGTGGTGCAATTAGACCTGTTATACCATTCTGAGCAAATAAGAACTTGTCATGTATGGGTTTTATCTGAGCATTTTCCAACTTCCTCTTGTTCTTGTTTAAAACATTCTCAAATTTCTTGTCAATGTCAGCAAACTTTTTTTCTAACATATTTTTAGAAAAATTAAAATTTTTATCTTTTTGAAAATGTCGAGCGATTTCGCTATCTATATTCGAGACAAACTTTTCGACAGCAAAACATCTGTCGACCATAAAATCTTACATAGTGTAAACAAGAAAGGTGAATTTGTTCTAAAGTTCTGTTTCTGGGAATATGACAAGAACCATAAAACCTTAAGCAGAGAAGTCTTAAAATTTGTCAATGACAGACTTGTTGACAGAGATGACGCCGATTGGAAAGATGAAGTCCAACAAAAGTTCTTAGAATGCAAAGAAGGCACATGCGCTGTTCTTGAAGATGAAATAGAAAACAGAATAGAAGAGCTATTAAAGGACAAAGAACTTTTACATAAATATGGTTCTGAGAAATTTGACATAACTCCACCAGAAAAGAAGAAGAAGAGAGAAAAGAAAGAAAAGAAAGTAGAAGAAGAGAAGAAAGAACCTGAACCAGAGAAAAAGAAATTTGACATGTAAAAATAAAATTTTATTTTTAGAACATTTCTGGGTCGATGTCAATGTTCTCTTCCTCTTTAGGAGCAAACACTGGCTTAGACTCTAAAATCTTTTTACCTAATTTACCTTGAACTTCAACTATCTTAGACTCATAATATTCATAGTCGTCTGCTTTCTTTGGTTCATAAGGTATAACAAGTTTGTATGCTTTGCCTTCTTCGAGTTTTGAGAACTTTCTGTCAAAATTTTCTTTGACTGTTAACAAACCTTCTATGTCTAAGTCTTCAAATTTCGCACCATTTTTAGTCACAATAGCAAACTTAACTGGTTCGATGTTCCAAACTTTGCTGAATGAAGACTTTTCAAAATGGTAGAAGTAAACATTCAAATATGTGAATGGAGCTAACTTATCTTTGACTTCTGTCATGTACTTGTTTACTGAGATGAATTTTGCCATCTTTTCTTCAGAATAAAAAAATATTTTTTTTTAAAAACGTTTTAAAATGGTATGCCATATAGCTTCTTGAATTTGTTAAGAAGTATTTTAACGTTTTTTCCATCTGTATCTCTAGCGTTTACATAAGCATAGCCATTAGTAAAACATACTTGTAATTTTCTATAGTTTACGCCGGTATAAAAGTAGAAAGAGTCTTGTTCTTCGCTATAGTAGTAAAACTCAAACGTATGCTTACCATAGTCTGTAATTTCAATTGTTTCATCTTCTAGTTCGTCGACAAATTCGAATACAATATCTCTAAATTTGCCTCTGTTCTTACTGTTTTCAGAACGAGTGACCCAGCGTAAATTTTCAAGTCTATTGTCGTTTCTTATATGGTTTATATGGTCTACAAAAGGTAGATTGTTAGGGTTCGGTATAAAATGAGTTGCAATGACAACATGTTTAAAATAGTGTTTTCCACCAATCCTCATCCTAGCATATCCGTTATTTTGCTCCCATTCGCTTAAAACTCTTTTTGTCTTTTTGTTTCTGACTTCAAATGACTCACAACAGTGAATTTCATATTTCTCATCTAACAAACAAGTTTCCCAACGGTCTTCTCCAACAAACTCAGCGTACATTTTTATAAAAATAAAAAAAATATTTTTTTTTATTCTTGAGCTATTTGTTGCATTTGTTGCATTTGTTGTTCTTGAGCTATTTGTTGTTGAAGTTGTTCTTGTAATACAATACTTTCACCAGTTGCATCTTCCAATTCGAAACTTTCTGCCGTCATTGACAAATACATAGGACATAAAAGTTTTACAGGAACAAAGTTTGCGTCAACTAATGTCAACGTTATACTTGCCAAAGTGTTTGAGTTCACTAAGGTTGAAAATTCTGCATTCGAATGAACAATAGGCAAACCAGCAGAGAAAGTATTGTTTATACGCATAAGTATCTTTTGGTCAAATAGTTTCTGTCGACATTCGAATAGCACTTTGAACCTAAGTTTGAAACAATATATAAGATTGGTGTGCTTAATGTCAATGGAATAGACATTCCTTGTATGACACCTTTTCCTGTTATAGGAAACTGTTGGTAGTAAAAACCAGAAATAAGTTTTGTATTATAGCTCATATCGTTTATAGTAAACTCAGTCGGACATCCAAACATAATGAAACCTGCTCTAGTTGCAGCACATGTTACACTCGTCCTTAAAGTATTAAATAAGTCAACAAAACCTGTTGGTGGTATATCTGAGTAAGTATCTTCAAAGGAGTATTTTTTACCATTCACAACAATAAAATCTTCTGGTGTCAAAAGAGCAAAACAGGCTTTAGTCGTCATTGTGTTTAAGGTTAGTTTACAATATCGTCCTTGAGGACTTTGTAAGTTTGTTGTTATAGAATTATATGACTCAGGGTTTTTAGTCGTAATAGTATAAACCATTATGTCTTCTGCCATTTACTTAGCAAATAAATTTTAATGAAATGTTGTGGTCGTCAAATATTTTTATAACGTCTGGGAAACTATACTTTAAGTTCAACGTTTCACCTCCTTTCATAACGTATATCTTGTCAATGACATTATATGAAACACCACAGCAACTAATGTCGGGTTCTATTTCTTTGATGTTTATATCGTCTGCCTCTGTCAAAAGTTTCAATAGTTCTTTCAAAACTTCATGAGGTGCAATGACATATGAGTTCACTTTTACAGGGTTGTGCTCAACCAAGTTTAACATTATACCTAAAGCTTGACAAATCTTCTCCTGAGTTTGAAGTTTGTCTTTAAGTTGTTGGTAGTCATTTCGAATATCTGCAACAGAACTTAAGTCTCTGCTAACTTCAGGATATGTTGGTTGTTCTTTTACAGGAACAATTGTTATACCATCTTCGTCTTCGTATGGTTTCCCCACTTCAACATCTCTTTCTTTGACATTGACAATAACACTTTGACTGTTTGTTTGAGTTGGTGAATTTAACTTCACATCTGCCACCGCCATTAAACCTTTTGAAACACTTACGCTTCTATTTTTCGGAAATGACATTTTACTTAGAATAAAAAGATGGACGTATTTGAGTATCTCTTCGAATTGAAGCAAAACAAAGTTTACACACACAAACAATACAAATACATTGACAGAATAGTTCTTTATACAAACAATGGTAAATGTTATAGAATAGCAGTCTTTGCTGAACCAAAATATTTTCATAAAGCAAAGAAAGTTGGTATAACCGAGATGGTGAAAGTTCTTGAAGCAGACAAAAATATAACAACAAAACTGACCGATATTTCTAAAGGTAAGTTTATAATACAATACTACGTCAAAACTGGCGTACTGTCAATATTTGACGGAGAGAAGTCAGTTCAAGAACAACTTACTGACCTGCTGCCAAAATCTGCTCGATGGAAGCTGTCGTTATGCCAATCTGAGGAGCCCCAGCAGGTTTCATCGAACGAATCTTCAAAAGAGCATCTTCCGTGAAAAGTGCTATTGGTTTTGTAAACTTCTTTGCTCTCAGTTCATCTGGACCGTCTCTGTCACCAGTATATTGTATTTGTACAGTACCAACAGTTGAAATACCACCCATAAAGTCTTCTGAGTCAGCAAATGGAATGCCAAGCCAAAAGTTTGAACGGTCTCCATTTGTATATTGAGTGTTTTGAGCTCCTGTATGGGTCCATACTTTCACATATGGCATAATAGAACTTTGCATTTCAGGGTTAATGGTTGTTGTGAAGTTGTTGTTAAAGTTCATAGCATCTAATGTCAAGTTGTATGACCTCATATCCTCAACTGTAGAATATTCTTCTCTTGGATAATATTTGCCATCTATGTTTATATGATATTTAATACCGGGGTTGTAGAAACAAGAATAGTCATTTATAGTTCGTCTGAACAGTACAAACATAGTATCTGCATGTTTCATTGCAGTTGTTAAAGCAATATCTGTTCTTGCACCTGGGTCAGCACTTTGGTTTCCAACTTCACCTGCAAAGTCTTTGACAGATATTTGGTGTATAGGGAACATAAGTGGAACTGCAATATATTTGGCAGCTAAAGCATTTGAAATATCTGGGTCCAACATATAGACTGCAAGTCTGCTTTCTATTCTCTTGCATTCAAACTTTTCGCATGTGAACTTAACTGGGTCCCAAGCATCTCCAGCAGCATTGAAATAATAGTTTACTTCAGTGTTGAGGTTTGAGAAACCAAAGTCTAAGTCAACTTTGTTTTGCAAAAGTCGGCGAATGACATTTATTTGTTCCCACTACTTCTGTAAGAGTGAATGGGTCTTGTGTTGGTGCAATGACTAAGTTATTTTTGCTTGGAGTAAGTTCGATAGAAATTTTCCTGCCCAGTTTGGCAAGTATCTTAAAAACCTGAAGATGAGGAAAGATGACAAAGGAACTCTAAGTTTCAATTTTACTTTGGTTACTGCTGCTGCATTTTGTCCAGAAAGGTTAACATAAACTCCTGGAACGTTAGGGTCAAGTCTTCTTATTTTCTCAATAGTTGCATACTGGTCTGTTTGTTCTCTAGCTTGTGGTTGTACTGAGTTTCTCAAAGCGAACCATTCATAGTTTGCCCATGTTACTGTTTGAACTAAGTCAGAGTTAGAATATATCTTATATCCCATGAAAACTTCTGGAGCATATTGGTATCCGACATAGAAAATTCCATTGCAACCTTTCTTGTCAGACAACTTGGCAGAAGGTTTTATTTCAATGTCTTGTTCCACGTATAAGAAAGAGTTGTCAATAGAAATTATATGAAACCTGTCGCAAGCAATATCTACTGTTGTTGAAGAACCTTCTCCAAACTCACCTACGTTTCCATAAGAAACAGCAGTTGTATATTCGTAAGTTCCAGGAACTATTTCTGACCTTCTAATGGCATTGTCGCATTCGTTATACCATTCGGAAACATTTCCATTCATAGCATCCAAAACTGTTGGCGTTATATTCTGAGCGGCGTACATTTCATATGAGTAAAAATATAGAATAGTTGGATTTATATGTCATAATAGAACCCACGTGGACCAAGCTTTACTTTCTTCCTGACTGAGTTTTTAACTCTTCTTTTTCCTTCATTGCCCTCTGCTTGAAGTTGTTGCATCTTTGCATTATGTTCATCTAGTATGTTGCAAATTTCCCATGTCCTTTTTGCCTTTTGGCTCTGGTCGCCCATCTCAGGTAACCTATATCCTAGAAAGAGTTTGTCATAGTCTGTATTTGAGTCTTCGCGTATTGTTTGCATGACTCTTTCCTGAGTTTCCGGTTCAAGCTCTTCAAACAGTGCCTGTCCATATGGAATATGCTCGTTTCCAAATATATGTTTTTGTAGCCATTCTGGTTTTCTTTCCATGTTACCAACAATATCTTTTGTGAATGGGAAAGCTTTTACCCAATCTTTCAGTCTTGCGTCGTTTATTTCTGTAGTTGGTTTTTATTTTGTCAAGGAACATGTTTTTCAATACTAACATTTCATTTGGTACTGTCCATTTGAGTTTTCTTAAATATTCATCCCTTCTCGGTTCATTGTCTGCAAAGTAAGTTTTTATGACATTTTGTAAACTTTCGTTTGCAAGGTCATGTACAATAGGTTCTCTTCCTTCGCTCTCCCTAACTTTCTTTCTAAACTCTTCACCAAATATACCATCTCTATGGTTCTGTGTAGTTCTTTGAGATAAATGTTTTAGAACGTCAGGTGTTATATTTCCATCAGCCATGTTCATTTCATACTGGTCCAAAATATCTGCATGTTTCATATCTTTCAATGGCATTAAAGCCGCGCTTAAAATACCAGCTATATCTTGTTCACCATTGACTTCCATTTGCGTCTACAACTTCTTGGAATTGTGGTTGTAAGTTTATGAACCACCTATCCGGGTTAGCTTTATGACCCCATCTCATTGTAGTTCCATCGTCTGCAGAAACAAAAGTAGGTTTGTTTCCATCTTGGTTAGGTTCTGAATGAACTTTAAACAATGTTTCATTTCTATATGTTTTCTTGAAATTTAACCTTTTATCTTCACCGAGTTCATCCGAAGATTGAACGTTAAATGCTCGTAAGTAAAAAGGGTTGTTGTATTTGTGTACATTTTTTTTCAGTTCTTCCATTCTATGCTGGATTTTTCATCTGATGTTTGGAGTCTTTTGTATGTCGGCAAACATTTTTCGATATTCTTCTACTATGTCAGCCGAATTTTTTTTAGACTCTTGGAAATATTCCATATTCTCCGCATACTCTTGTTGAGGGTCAAGATTTTTCGGCTGTTCCAAATCTTCATCTAGTTCTGTGAAGTTAGTTTCAAAGGAAGGACTTGTTTCGTTTCCTTCAGGCTCTTCTAGCTGTTGTTGCTGAACTATTTCTTCCATGTCTGGTTGTATCTGAACTTCTTCCTGTGGAGTTTCTTGTACCTCATCTGCTGGCATTTCATATATTCCGAGACCGTTTTCAACAATTTCCCTATCTACGTCATCCGCATTCATAAGCTTTTGTTCTTTCGTTCCGTCTCTATTTTTTACGCGTTTCATGACGAAAGTTGAATTGTCATTTAGCTCTGACATCAAATATCTCGGAGTAAATTCATCCATGTCATTTGGATGATATGCTATTAAATCATATCCCTTAGCGAGCTTGTATTTTCCAGGTTTGAGATTATATCCGTTTTGGTGCTGAGCCATAAAGCTAAATAGGTTCGGGTCAGTATTTCCATCCTTGAACTTTCCAATAGCTTCTTTATCTGTCACTAAAGTCAACAGTATCTGGGAAACCACACTCTTCTTTAAGCATTTTTAAGAATTCTTGGTTTCCTTGTTCTCTACTTCTTTTATGTCCTTGCTCTGTTTGTGGTTGTTGTTGTGCAGGGTTTTGAACTGTTGGTTGCTGTGCTGGTTGTTGTGTTGGTTGTTGTGCTGGTTGTGGAGGTGGTTGTTGTGCTGGTTGTTGTGTTGGTTGTTGTGTTGGTTTTGGTGCATGCCTGTGTCTGTGTCCATGTGACGATGTAAATGTTTTAGGTAGTCCTGGTGCAGGTGCTTCTCTTGGAGGGTTTGGTGGTATATAAGTTCCACCAGCTGGCACATATGTTCCATCTGCAGCGTAATGTCCTACCTGACTTTTCGTTTTTAAGAAAGCATTTACTAGGTCTGTTTTGGTCTGTTTAACTCTTTTTCTTGACTTTTCACAACAGTTGCTCTAACGGCGTCATAGGCACTTTGAACTGCCTGTCTCGTTGCTGCATCTGTTATTTTCGTCATATTTTGTGCTACTTCTTTTAACTCTTTGTCGAAACCTTCAGACTTCAGTTTCTTTCCAGATGAGAAGTCGTTCACTAGTTTCACCTTACTATGAAGAGCTTCGAAGGCGTTCTTAAAGTCAGCCTTCATTAAAGCTTCATTTGAACTGTCTTCATCCGCTTGTATTTTTGTCCTTATTGACCCTATGAGTTGGGCTGCTTTAGCGTTGGCTTGGGCATCTAACCAGTCATTATTAGCTTTTATATATTCTGCGCTTTTCATTGCCTTTTGCATGGCTGCGTCGTTATTTTTACTTTCTTGTGCTAAGTTTTCATACTGTACGGTTTGGTTTTGCAACTGTAAAAGTTTTTCTGCCTTTACATTTGCTTCAACTTCTTTTTATACTCATCGCTATCCATATATGTCTTCAGGGCTTTTTGTTTTATTTCTTCATCTTTCAGTACTTTATATCGAGTAGTATGGTTTTTTCAAATTTTATAACATCTTGTTCCATTTTTGCTACTTCTGCTGCTTTTTCTGACACTTTTTTCGCATATTCCTCTGTACTTAGTTCTTTCAGTTGTTCTTCTTTCTTCTTTTTCTCTACGTTTAACTCATTGAGTTTCTTTGTGTGTCTGTCATATTCTAGTTTCTTTTCGTTTTCACTTATTTGTTTCTGTATGTCTATGTTTGACTTTTTGACATCTGTTATTTGATTTTTGAGTGAACTCAAATTCATTTGACTTTGAGGGTTATAGG